AGGAAATAAGACAGCTAGCTTTTTAAAAAGCTGCAGATTTTTTTAAAAACCACTTTTTTAAAAATATACTCACAAGGACGAATATTTTTTAAAAAAGCTAGTGCTGTTTCACTTATTTGTTACCTGCTATTTCAAAGCAAGAAGATTTAAAAATGAATTTAACATGAGTTATTTGAGTAGCAAACAACCTTAAACATATAGGTTTTGATGCTTCTCTTACTGAATTTCTTGATCCCAGAGTTTTAGTTGATACCCTTCTACTTTATTTCTGTAATAGTTTCATCAATTTTAACTGTCTTATGTCCAGATTTCTTGATTATTTTTGTGGCATAATGACCGGCAAATAGGGTAAATTAATTAGTCTCAGCAATTTATGTGCTCTTGGTTCCTTATTGTTATCAATGAAGCTGAATTTACCTTTTTGCAAAGAAAAGAAACATTTATCCAGTCAACTTCATGTCATTTCTTGAAAGGAGAAACCCATACAACTAGAATTATCCTTATTAATAACTGATCTAATGAACAGCAGAATTCTCTGGCTGAATATGAATCACTGTTAATAATATTAATTGACATTAAATCTGCCAGTAGTGGTGGCCAAGACCACCTAAATGACATTCAGCATTTACTGTATGATATGTGTTTAGCCATCTGGGAAATGTGTGTGTTACATTTGTTTTCTAGAGTGGGTATTATTTGCCTCTCTGAAGTAGATTTTACAGCTGATTAGGCTAGAATTACCAATTCTATAAGTAACCAAATGTTGATTGACACATTAGACCATTATTAACTATTGTGTAAATGAATACACATTAAAAAAAACTCCTGTCTCGGTTCATATTTATACTTTAGGCTACCAGCACTTAACCATCTAGGAAAACTATACACATTAGGAAAGCTGCCACAATAAAGGAAATTTACCACATCTTTACAAAATACATTGAGTACACTCATTAGGTAGGAGACATTTTTGTTACTTCTAAGAGCCACTGAAAAGACGGCAGAAATGAGCTCCTGGTAATGCTGACAATATGGGCAAGCGGCTGGGATGACTTGCTTTGTGGCCTATATAGGGTCCCAGTGCTGCCTCCAGGGAAAATGACTTTGGAACTTGATTTCAGTAAGACACTATTAGCTTTAAAATGGTGTGTTTCTATATTCTGAACTCTAGTGGTTGGTGTTCAAACTATTAAAATCTAATGTGTAGTATTTGCTTACAGCCTGTTCAGTGGATATATTCATGGAGAATTAAAACAATGAGATAATACTGGTGACCACACATTCACTTTCCACACAATTATCTGACTTTGCTATAGAACTTTAAATTTGGTTGAGAATTCGCTTGCACTGAATTAGTACTCTGAAAATAGATGTAAATCAAGCTAGGATCCTAACCTTTTTTTTTCGTGTTTATTGGCTAAACAAGATGTTCTAATAGAATAAGTGCTGGAAACGTCTACCTCCTGGCTGAATTCTCACTCCTGGTGACAAAGCTGTGGGGTAGCTTGGGTAGGAAGTTTGTTTGAAACTGCAGCTTGTGATGGCATAATCTCCTTTGAAAACTTCTCCTTCCTCCAGAGATGTTTTTTTATAAAGCTGCCATTAGCCATTCCACGCAAAAAGGAACATTTAGAATTAGCTCTGTATATTTTACTATCTAAAGCCATGACTGTAGAATAAGCAAATCCAGACAATTTTAAAACTACAGAGCCAGCGGTTTTCTACAGGAGCTTACTGGCACATCAAAGATCCTGGAGCACTGGGAAACTACCGGAGGACTGGAAAAGAGCTGATGTAGTTCCCATCTTCAAAAAAGGAAAAAAAATGGACCCAGGAAATTACAGACCTATCAGCCTGACCTCAATACCTGGGAAGATTCTGGAAAAGATAATCAAACAACGAATCAGCGAACACCTACAGGCAAACAAAGTCATTACTAAAAGCCAACATGGGTTTGTCAAAAACAGATCATGCTAGACAAATCTTATTGCATTCTTTGATCAAGTGACAAAATTGGTGGATCAGAGGAATGCTGTGGATATAATTTACTTGGACTTCAGTAAGGCATTTGATAAAGTAGATCACAACCTACTACTTGATAAGATAGAAAAATGTGGGTTAGACAGCATCACCACCAGATGGATCCGTAGCTGGCTGACTGGCCATACTCAGCATATGGTCCTCAATTGAACCACATCTACATGGAGGGAAATGTGTAGTGGGGTCCCCCAGGGCTCTGTTCTGGGCCCAGTGCTATTCAACATCTTCATCAATGATTTGGACGAGGGGATAGATGGGGAAATCATCAAATTTGCAGATGACACCAAGCTGGCAGGAATAGCCAACACTCCAGAAGACAGGCTTAGTATACAGGAGGATCTGGACAGATTTGAACACTGGGCGCTATCTAACAAAATGAAATTCAATGGTGAAAAAAGTAAGGTTCTACATTTAGGCAAGAAAAACCAAATGTACAGGTATAATATAGGGGCTACCTTGCTCAATAGTAGTAACTGTGAGAGGGACCTTGAAGTCCTAGTGGACAATCACTTAAATATGAGCCAGCAGTGTGCTGCAGCTGCCAAAAAGGCCAACACAGTGCTGGGCTGCATTAATAGAGGGATAGAATCAAGATCACGTGAAGTATTAATATCACTTTACAATGCCTTGGTAAGGCCACACTTGGAATACTGCATCCAGTTTTGGTCACCACGATGTAAGAAAGATGTTGAGACTCTAGAAAGAGTACAGAGAAGAGCAACAAAGATGATTAGGGGACTGGAGGCTAAAGCATATAAGGAAAGGTTGATGGAATTGGGTATGTCTAGTTTAATGAAGAGAAGGACAAGGGGAGGCATGATAGCAGTATTCCAATATCTCAGGGGCTACCACAAAGAAGAGGGAGTCAAGCTATTTTCCAAAGCGCCTGAAGGCAGGACAAGAAGCAATGGATGGAAACCAGTGGAACAACCTGCCTCCAGAAGTGGTGAATGCTCCAACACTGGAAGTTTTTAAGAAGAGACTGGACAGCCATTTGTCTGAAATGGTATAGGGTTTCCTGCCTGAGCAGGGGGTTGGACTAGATAACCTCCAAGGTCCCTTCCAACTTTTTTATTATTATTATTATTATTATTATTATTATTATTATTATTATTATTATTATTATTATTATTATTATTATTATTATTATTAATCAAAGAGACTGTAATTCAAGATACTAGATGATGTCTACTGTGAACCCAGTCTGCTTCAATTAAAAAGACTTCAACAGATATTTTAACAAAACAATATATGCAATTTTAATAGGAACAACAAGAACAGGAAAAGATCATACCAAATCAAAAAGACAAATCATAGCATTTTCAGAATATCTGTCAGCCATTAGCATTTTATAATTTAAATTATCGTCCTCTTTTGACTGAAATCCTAGTACCCACAATGCCACATTTCGCATATGGGATTTACATGTGGTTCTTACACGTGTATAGAAAAAGTAAATAGCATCAAATGCCCTTTGAATTTATCCACAAGCAGATAACAGGCTGTATCCACAAATATTCTAAAACTGAAGAACAGAATAGCATCTGGAGTTTGCGGTCCGCAGAGTCCTCTAAAGTCCAGAAAGCACCTAGGAGATAATATCATTGTGACAGAATGTTGTCAAGAATAAATGGTCTCCTGCTACCAGATTAAAGCCTGGGGAGGTGAATTCATTTACAAAAATACACACAAGCAGCAGCAAGCTACTTCTGACATTTTCAAAGTAGGAGGCATTAATCTTACAGCAACATTCTGCTTCATTCACTCTGCTTTTTTATTGTAGTAGAATAGAAAGCAAAAACATAATTTTACAAAACACATGGTGTGCTTCACTGGTTTAATGATTGATTTATCTCATGTAGTTACCTTGCTTTGGTTCCCGCACAACAGTTGTAAGCATGGCTTCAGTACTATCCATAAGAGATAGAATCTTGTTTAGGAATTCAAATAGACGTGCTTTAAAATGACTAAATTATTCATTTTCACAGATAGTTTTCTAACCTATGCTTTTCCTCTAAAACTGGCTAATTTATGTCATTTGTTGTGGGGGATATTAATACAAAGCTTGTAAGAAGTTTTTATATAGGGAAGAAGATTAAAACCAATAGCTGTGGGGTTCATGCAGTCATCCAAGGTGAGCAGGTCTTTAAGAGTCTTTTCAAAACTTGTTGATGGACTGTGATTTCTAAATGTTTAAGAAAAGACTAATTAAATCTAACTAATTGTAATTAATTCAATTCAGATTTATTTCAACTTTTTACTAAATAAGTATGTGTATTCTGTTCTTTGCCTACATTTTGGATTGTGAATCTGAATAGCCTCTTAAAACCAAACTTATTGACTTACATATTCGTTTACTTACTTAAAACATTTATATAGCGCTCCAACTCAACCAAGGTGACAGAGTCTAATGAAAAGAATATAAAATTATAATGCATATACTTACAAACAATATTAACAAAAGTAGATGATGACTTAAACAGCAGTACCATCATCATCCAATCAGGATACCAAGCATCATGTCTTAGGGAAAGAGCCAGGTCTTGACAGCCTTTATATGTTAAGAGGAAGATTGTTCTATAAGAGAGAAGGCATGCACCCTGGTTCCCACAAGATGAAATCTTTTAGTGGAAGGGACCCGGAGTAAACCTTTTCTATTAGAGCATGTGTGGAGGGCAGATGCTCAGATACTTTCAAGTAACCAAACTCTATGCCATGCAGGGCTTAGAGAAAATAATAGTACCTTGAACTGCACTCAGGTGCAATTGGGAGCCAATGGCACTCTCAGAGTATTGGTGTTACACGGACACAGCAAAAAGCATCAATAAGCAGAGCAAGTAAGTTGAAACTCAGACCACAAAAACTTACTCTCAAGATTCTGTTCTGATGACAATGTTTATTTCCATATCTGTGTCCAATTTTGCATCAAATAAATTGTGTTTGTTTTGTTGTGTTTACAGTGCAAGTTGGAGTTTCATGCCTGCACATCTGGCAAAAACATTGTGGCTCGATGTGAAGGGCCTTGCCCATGCCTTCCAGGACAAGAGAGTCCAAAACACCGGACTGAGAAAGCTGGTGAGTTTATTTGTTCAATTAAGTATCCGGTTTCTCATTTCTTTTTTTCTTTTTTCTTTTTTTAATTTTTTTCTACAGTTGTATTAGTTTATGATATAACATACAAAAAATGTACAAAAACAAATAATAGGAAAAATGGGGAAGGGAAAAGTGAGGAAAAGAAGGAGAGAAAGAAAGAAAAGGAGTTGACTTCTAACTCCCTTAGGCGCAGTAGAATAAGACATTAACATCATACCTCAACTTTTTACTTTTACATAATAGTTTAAACTAGCCATTTCTAGTTATATACATATTTAATCGGTAAAGCCCAAAATCAAATTTCATTTCTTTTCCACTTCAAGCACAAAGTCCAGAAGCAATGTCCAAGTAGAAATAAAAGTATTTGTATTTTTTTTCTTTGATCAAAGCAGTCAATTTAGCCATCTCTGCTAACTCCATCAACTTTTGCAGCCACTCATCCATTGTTGGGACTGAAATGTCCTTCCATTTCTGTGTGTAGAGTAGTCTTGCTGCTGTCAATATATATAATATCAAAATTCCACATTTTTCCCCAAGTCTTTTTCTGTTAAACCCAAAAGAAATGTCTCTGGTTTTCTCTTTATATTTACTTTAAGAATTTTCTGTATTAGAATATGAATCCTGCTCCAATTAAGTATCAGATTTCTCAGTGAATTTTATTACTCTCATATTCTAGCATATTCTATTCTCTTTATATTTACTTTAAGAATTTTGTGTATTAAAATATGATTCCTACTCCAATTATCAGATTTCTCAGTGAATTTTATTATTCTCATATTCTGGCAGGCCAATCCTATAAATATTTGACAAAAAGTGAGACCCACTGAACCCACTATTATTTCCCAGAAAATAATAGGGTTGCCATTTATGAATTGACAATATAATGAATATTTGGTCTACAAAAGTTGTTAATCATATGGCTCTTTTTGTTGGAATTAGGGAAAGAAGAATTAAAGAAAGACTGTTAACCAAGGCAGCATTCCAGACTCAACAATAAATATAGACTGACTCTTGGAGCTCTGCAGCCGACTTATTAGATATTAATGCAAGTTCATGTTAAGGGCAGTGCAGAACAAGCACTTGACAATACTTTGTACATTATCTTGTTAGTGAGAAACTGAGAAGTGGGCAATAGAGAACAAAAAAATGCAACTGCTTATTTCTGGATTCTTTAATGAAATATTTGAAGACTTTTGATCAAGAGCCCCATCTTGGATTTCTCATTAGCATGTCAGATAGATTTTACCTGCCAGTGATTACACCTAACTTCTGAATTGCTAGACAGAGATCAAAACAAAATGCTCCTGGATGGGCTAATTCAGCCCTAGTTGCTACCTCCATTCCTACCTCTAGATTTCTGCCTGAAGTGAGGACAATTAACCAGTGAAACAGCTTGTCTTCAGAAATCATGGGCGCTCCAACACTGGAGATTTTTAAGAGACTAGACAGTCCTTGTCTGAAATGGTATAGGTTCTCCTGCTTGAGCAGGGGACTGGACTTGAAGACCTCCATGGTCCCTTCCAGGTCTATTCTATTCTAATTGGAATGCATCATTCACAAAGCTTATCAGAGTATTCACAGACATGCATGTGTGTACACATACACACTTCTTAAGAAGCACTTTAGGTAATATGATCACATATATTTCATAAATGAACCGTTACTGATAAAGAATGCACATCTAGTGATATACACGCTTAGTCTCTGATAATATATTATTTCTATAACCTTTAATGTGCCCTTATCAGAAGTAGTACCATATTAATATATTCCAGGTGACATTTTAAGCTCAAACAACAGAATAAATTGTAATAACTGTGAGGCTGATAAACTAAATTTGACAGCATGTACGCATTCAGCAGGCCAATCTTTTTGTTTTGGCTGGATCTCTGATTCAGCTAATGCTGCTGAATAGAGTCCTTTGTGGTTTTGATTGCTACATGACCACAGTAGAGTATTACAAGAACATTTCTTGGTCTTTGGATGTTTGAGGCAATGATTGTTTTGAAATGGAATCTCCAGTCCTTATGTTACTGTACCGTAAAATGAGTAAATGTTTATAACTGATTTGCTATCTGTATGACTGCTACTTATCTTCCCTTTTCAAAGAGGATGTCAATTTTTCTTCTTATCACAATCAAGGACAGCAGCACTTTTTCTCATTCTTCCCTATTTTTGACACAGAAATCTTAAACAAATTTCTTCTCCTGATTAGAAAGAAGCAAAAATAGGTCAGCAACAACCAGGATGAGCATCAATGCTATACTTCACCTCCTACTGGTTATTCTTCTCTCCCGTAATTACAAGGATCAGTCTTACTAGTTGTTACATAATTCTTGCTTTCCAAACTTTACCATTCTATTATTGTGATTCAAGCTATGCAAAATTTCCTGTTCCAGACTTTTTGCTCAATAACGAGGAATATAGATAAAAGTAGTTCAAGAGAATAATGACAAAGTAGGTACTTATGCATTACCCATTCCTCTACAGCTGCATACCAAAGTCTTAACAGGCAAGTATGGTATATTAACTTAGTGGTGCATAGGTTTTAGACATGATATAAGGTTTTCTTCAGAATATAACACTACAGGACCAGTGATTTGGTATCCTCTCTGCATATCTGTTAGGTATATTTTATTGCTATCTGCTGGTGCTGTGCTAATAATAGAAAAAAAAACTTACTAAATCTATCTTAATAAGTGTGTTTTCTGTAATGTGACATTATTATTATGGTTTGTCACATCATCAACCAGTTTAGACTGGATTTGGCATTTTTATCCACCCATTGAGTCTTTCTCAAAGACCTGTGATAGGCTGATGTTCTTATTTGATGGGGTTAAAGGAATGATGATGATGATGATGATGATGATAATGTTGTTGTTGATGATGGTGATGATGATGATGATGATGATGATTTGTCACACAACCAAATGTTTATACTGGATTTGGAATTTGAATCCATATATTAAGTTATTTCCAAGGACCTAAGATAGGCAGATGTTGATGCTTGATGGTGTTAAAGATATCCTGGCAGGATATGCTCCAAGTAAAGCTGCCCTTTACAATTTACTTATTTTGTCAATGCAAATTGAGTGTTCAAGTGGTGTTCCAGATGTTTTGGCATTGCAGCCTAGGCATCTATTACTATTAATACTGTCTTCATTTTCTTTTGCCACAATTGTTGTACTTCTATTTGCAGGTCTTTGTTTTTTGTGATTTTTTTCTAGTTCTTTCTCTTCTCTTCTGTTCTGTTGTTATTATTATGTATGTTTATAACAAAGTCACATCTTCTAGTTCTTTAGCTGGTGTTGACCTCAATATGCATCAGGTTCTTCCCAAGATCTTAGGATGTCATAATATACTGGCATAGTTTACTTGCAGATCCAAGCAGTGTAGCCTTTGCAATTGACAGGTAGAGATTTTGTCAATGCACAGATTTTCTTAGTGCCAATAACCATCGGGACCACCATGGTTGGTTTATGCCCTAATCTTTCAACTTTGATTTTCATAACTTGAAACTCAATGTCTTCCCCTTCTACTATTTCCTGGTATCACCACATCCATTATCCACACTTTCTTCTTTTCAACCACAGTTATTATTATTATTATTTCCATTATTTAGAAGAAAGTAAAAAAATTAATTATTGGGTTTTTTTTTAAATCCCCCATGCAGAAGGAAAAAGGAAAGGTGGCTTGGCACAATCACATGCCATATAATGAACAGCATTTAATAAAGGTGCTGTCATTTCACCCCACAAAAAAATCAAAGCTATTCCCTCAATGTCTTCACATAATTATTGTTTTACTTAAATGGCTATATAATGACGATGATTGATGAAAGACCAGTCAGTGTACTGCTCCTGGTACTGTTTGTCATTCTACAGGAAACTCTTTTTAATGAGAGAATCATTTTTTGGTGCCTCTGTTCTTAAGCTTCATAAAAAATATTCTTCTTTATTCACAACAATGGACCCAACTGTCTATTTGGTAATGATGCCAAACAAAAGTTGAATGATAAATGCCCATTTGTAATCAGCACTGAAACATGTTATCCTTTCAGCCAGCAAACTCTTGTTTTCAAAAATCAATCCAACACATTAAGTATTTCAGCAATGAGAGGGAGAAAATCCCAAAGACTAAAGCAAGAAACTGTTATTATTTTAGAGTTGGGCAATACTTGCCCAAGAGGATCAGTCACAGATTGCCTGATTATCAATTCCCAAGCCAGTGCCATAGAATCTTTGTACATAATTATGGCAGTACAGCAAAAATTGTTTCAAGTACTCATATGAGAATAAGTGTTTTAGAGCTGCTTTAATGTAGAGGCCCATAAGTCCTTCATCCTCATAGCCCTTTTCAGTAATATAGCCCTAATCAACAATAACTGGGTCCCTAAGCATTTACTGTTCAGCAACAAAACAGAATTTTGTTCCAGTGTACAGTATATGAATTACTGGAAAGAGAGAGGCAGTGTAAAATAAACATTAAGCTAATATTTATTAGCGTCTACTTAAATAGTCATAATAACCAGTGGTGGGATTCAAATATGTGAACAACTGGTTCTCTGTGTGGATGCCACTTCCAGAAGTCCATTCTGGGCCTGGGCAACAAAAAATTAGCTACCGGTTCTGCCAAAGTGGTGTGAACTGGCTGAATCCCACCACTGATAATAACACACACACACCAAAATAACTTCAATTAATAGTAATAGATGTTTGTCTTGTAGGATCATAAAATAAATGCTAAAGTGAAATAAAGTAATACACTGCAAAATTGCAGTCTGTTGTTCTTTCATTACCTGTTTTATTAATTTTTTTCAAAACCAAAGATTGTTATCAGAAATTTTTATTGTAAATATTAGTAAGTTATAATCTAGAAACCTAGATTATAGGTTTCTTGAGCCAGACCCTCTTTCTCAGACCTATAAAGAAGGCAATTACAAACCACTTTTGAAAATGTTACCAAGGAAACAATATTGACTTCCTCAGGCAGTTTCAAGGAATCAGAAGTAATTCAAAGGAATTTTTTTTAAAGTATTATATTCAACATGTATCACCACTATATATTATATTCATGCAAAGTGCCAAGTTTTGAAATAGAATGCCCTTGAAAGACATTCACTAGTCCGATAAAGTTTATTTTATTTTATTTTATTTAACTTTCATACTTATTAACCATCCGTCTTCCCTCAGAGAGTTATTTTTAATACCGTAAACAATGACTATTAAAGATACAAAAGCTAATATTCTCAAAGAAAGACTCCTTGACAAGTGTTGAATGGTTAAATGTCGGAGTATTCAACAATCTGCCTTTATGCACTTTGATCACCACTGTGACAAGAATAATGTGACTAAATCCGTCTTTCTAACTTTGGTTTCTCGGTAGCAATATTCTATAACTCCACATATTGTATTATTCTCTTTCTTTATATTTCACTTGGGTTTTAGTTTCATGGATACATGAAATAATTCAATCATAGCAATCTGAATATGAGCACTCCAGCATAATAATGCTTATTCATCTGTATTATTATACTACCACCACCTGTTCTTCCTTCTTCCAAATTTTGTATCTGTGAAAACAACAGCAAAATAAAAGTCTAAAGAGGGAGCTTTTCATTTGCTTCTGTAGAGAGTAATGGTTGATTTTGGAAATACATGAAAAATGCATGACCCTCTGATGCTGTTTATTACAATTCCCACCATTCTTGGCTATTTGTCATACTGAATGGGGTGGATGGGGTTTCACGTAGAAAGCATC